AGGGAGGCGGGTCCCTGGGCGGGCAGGGCGGGCGCCGTCCCGTCTGGGTGTGCGGTTCCGTGCCCGCCTCGCGGGAGGTCTCTCCCGAGGGAATGCTGGGTTTCCCCAGGTGCCTTTCCTTCCTGCGGGGCCCTGGGAGAGCTTTTGCGTCTTGGCTGCGAGATCCTGCTCCCGTGTTTCGTTTGTCTCTGCTGTTTGTTCCCTGCGGAACGGTGTCTGCGTATGGGGGTGCTTGTGGAAGGTGGGGCAGGTGGTAACTTAAACGTTGCTTAAGGTGCCAAGTGAGTATATTGAGAAGGCTGAGCAGGGTGTTTCTGCTAAGTAAAAACGGAAATAATTTAATATGCTTGAGAAGTAATAGGTTTTTAGAAGATCAGGCTCCCTAAAAAGGCTCTGATCTGGTAGTCGTCCTTGCTTTGTTGTCGTTTTGTTTGGGTTTTTTTTTTATTCAGTAATCGCTTTGATCAAGATGTACTTCTAAGGTTAATAAAGATTTGTCAGTTGGGAGGGGAAGTGTAATAAGACTTAGGGAGAAAACACTTTCAATTATGAATATGTGAGACATGATGCAGAGCTGTGGAAGTTTGCTATGTGAAAAAAGTAGAAGTGACTTGCTGGTTTTAAAAGGCAGAGCACTTAAATGTCTGCCACGTTGTGGTTCTTACTCAGCTTTTTTCCTTGGCTAGAAGTAGCTACTTTTCTAACTTTTTGTTTGTTTGTTTGTTTTTCTAAGTAAGAGTCTCTAAGAGTTTAGTACTAAGGAAGTGTATTTTTCCTATTCTTTCTAGACTTACAGATTTTCTTCCAGATTAGCTCCCATTCTGAAACTATGTTTTTCTACAGCTGGTGACTTAGTATTTCTACTTATATAAGCCTTCTGAATAAATATAAGTAAATGTGAATCTTGTGTAAATCTTGTCTGTCTCTGGAGGAGGTGGAGTGTAGGAGAAAGTGATGCAGTAGAAAGAAATAGATGTCTTCAGATTTTTTTTTTGTGTGTGTTCTTAAGAAATACCTCACTTTGTTTGTTTTGAAACTGGAATCTCGAGGATTGCAGTGAGTGTTAGAACTGACTTATTTTTTTTAAATTTTCTAATGAGAAAGCAGCCAATAAACACCTGAATGCATTTCTTAGCACTGACTTTAAGGCTGTTCCTATACTAAAAGTTAGCTTTAAGGAGGCAATGTAAATCTATCAAAACTTTATTTTATGCACTGTGTATGTTCTCTGCTCTGTGTTGTACATATGAAGCACAAGTCATTCAAGTGTGATTCTTGAACTTCATTATAAGGTGATGTTTTCAGGTATTTATTGTATGTTTCAAACAAGAGCTAAACTTGACGAGAGGATCATGAACATGATATTCATGGTTCCATTAGTTAAGCAGATATAATTTCTGCAGGGTACTGGCTGTTAGCCCTTTGCTATTTGTCTTCAGTTATTTCAAATAAAATTATTATGTATGTAATTTGAAAACAATTGTACTCAAAGTTCATAAATGGAATTGTCTTTCAGGCAAAGATGAGGCCTGGGAAATCATCACATCCAAAGGTAAATGTTTTATAATGTAATTAGTGTGTGAAAATAGCACTTTTTAGTATCAAAAATGCAGACCACGTCAAAACGTACAATAGAATTTGTGGCAAATACAAGATGTGCATGTGTATTTACATACGTGTATGTCTCTGTGGCATAGAATTGAAACTCACACTTCCAAATTTCATTTTGTTTTGAGAGGCAGTATGGTTCCATGGCTGTGTAAGCTGCACTAGTCTTTAATGGCCTTTAAGCCAAAGGCACAGTTGAACTGGGTTATGCTGCTGTCCTGCGTTCATGCTTTCCACGAATGAGCTATGGATTTCAATGTTGTCTTCTACTTGACTCTTTACCAGCATCTTCATGAAAACTAGCCTTTCTAATGCAGAGTTATCAGGGGAACGCTATCAGTTATCAGTATTATATATATATAACTATCAGTTATCAGTATTGAACACTTCTAGGGAGGGACCAGCCACAACATCCCTAGACAACTTTTCCCAGCATCTTACCACCCACATAGTGAAGAACTGCTTCCTCCTGTCTTAACCTAAATCTCCCCTCTTCCAGTTTAAAGCTATTTCCCCTTATTCTGTGACTACACACCGTTGTAAAAAGTCCCTTCCCAGCTTTCCTGTAGCCCCTTCAGGTACTGAAAGGCCACTATACAGTCTCCTCAGAGACTTTTCTTCTCCATGCTGAACAACCCCAACTCTTTCAGGCTGTCCTTGTAGGAGACGTGCTCCAGCCCTCTGATCATTGTGGCTCTCCTCTGGACTTGCTCCAAGCACTCTATATCCTCCTTATGTTAGGGGCTGCAGAGCTGGACACAGTATTTTAGGTGGAGTTTCAAAAGCATGGAGTAGAGGGGAGAACTACCTCCCACAAGTTTACTCTTAGCAAGAATAGCTAAGAACAAAAACAGTTCATATAGTATTTTCTAGGAAAACATATGCCAGATAAAACTCTTGAGTCTGCTCTTGCTGGCTCTATACTTATTGCAGCCATTGACCTTTATGACAAGTTTGAAGAACAAAAAAATCGCCCTTATGCTTGTTTTCACAGTCTAGCTTAGTTTAAGTAATCAGCTGTTATAGAATACTGTTTCTGTATATGCTGTAAAGTGGGATGTGACTTCTTGTTATAGGAAAACCTCAACATTGGCAAAGTTATGACAATTACTTTAAATATAGTGGTGCTGTTTCTTAAAAAAACCCAAGGTTCTTATAGTCAATTAATAATGATTTCCAAAGGGCTAATATTTTATCCAGGAGACTTTAAAAGGAAATCTGTAGAGAAACCTTGCTTCCCTGGCTGAAACAGAAGATCTTTGGACAAATTGCTGACTTCCCTTGGTTCCAGTGTGTCCATCTGTCATACATTAATGATATTGCATGTCACCTCCCTGTAGAGTTGTGATACTTGTAACGGTAGAATGCCATATAACCGAGATAATCCTGTTAAAGTGAGCTGTTAAAAAAATAATTTAACTAGTCATATTTGCAGGTGACAGAAATTGATTAAAAAGTTCTCTTTTAGAAGACATACAGGAGTCCATACTTCTTGCCTTAACTGGGACATCAGGCAGTTATGGAGCAAGTCTGTAAGTGGTTCTTTTAGTCTAGGAACAGAAGTAATCTTGTCTAGAAAGAGGAACAGGCTTGTCCATGTGGTGGGTCCACTCTGTTCCACAGGTTGACCAGCTCACATTCTCCCTTTCATTCCCTGTTTCCTACCCTTTCCCTGATTTTTCTGGAGTATTGGTCACAAAAGTTGGAGATACAGGAGAATTGCAATATGTGCTCTTCATAGTTCAACACAGAGGTTTTGCATCATAAGATGTTATAATGCAAACTCTTTGAAAGGCTTACAAGTTCCTGCTCAGCACAACTCTAATGGGATATGAAGAGCAAAAAGAGAGGTGGGGCAGGGAGGGAGGTGGTTGTGTGGAGTCTTGTATGCTGAGCAGTCTCAAATTTTACACACTTCTGTTGAGGAACACCTTATCATTCACTGAAAATTGTTTTAGTTGATACTTCTAATTTATATCCTTTTTGTGGAAGTGTGATTGTGCTTGTGTCATCCTCTACTGTTGAGATCAAACCAGATAACGTGGGTAAGGCCTGCTACTTTGTACTCCACAGAAAGCCTGGTTTGTAGCTTTAGTGGGAATAAGCTTGTATTGGCTTAGTTTACAGCCTTTTATAGGCCTGTGTGCTTGTTTGAGAAACAATCATTTTCCTTTCTAGGGATCTCTTAATTGGTAATGGAAGGAGGCAGGTAAGAACCTAGGACAAACTTGTCTCTTAGTTCTCTAGCTAACAAATCTTGCAGTAAGACATGAAGTAAGAGACATGGTCTGATTCAAGTCTGGGAACAGGCAGAACTAGAAGTTTCATGTATCTGGGAGGAAAACTTAGTAGTCATGTGGTTGAACATTAGTGCAGAGTAGTCAGCTTTACTTAAATATGTAGGTGAGTAAGGAACATTTGTGCCTGTATAGTTTACCCTTCCTGCTAACTACCATATGTTGAGTTCTAGTTGCAGGATGCATTGGTTCTGCATCTCTAGTAGCGGAGTTTTTATGTATACCTATATGTATGTATTAGAAGTAATCACATAGCAGCAATATCTCAGTACTGTAGCACTTTCATAGTCATAGAATGGTTTGAGTTGGAAGGGACCTTAAAGATCATCTAAAGATCATTCAGCTTCATTGCGGAGATCTCTTACAAATTACTTACTTTGTTTATCCTAATTACTGTAACTTCCTTACTAGAGAAATGGATCACAATAATTAAATTTTCATGTAGATAATATATAATACTTGTGCATACTTGTATATGGATAGTGAACATAAATAATGTCGGAGAACAAAGTTTGAATAATTGCTGTCCAGACTACTTTATATTTCACCAGTTCTGCGTATTTGGAGCAGATACTCTATGTAAAAAGCTTAATTTCTTGTTGCCTTTGGTTAATATCTGAATCTTAAGATGTAACAAAATTTTTTTCCGCTTGATATATAATTGTCTGCATAAAAGAGATGGAGTTTCTTGTTACAATGTGTGCATGCCTTATTTATGGAGTGCAAAGGCTATGGCTGTTTTTATCACTTGATCCTATCAGGATGGCTGGTGCATGTGACACTCCTCTGGAGATAATTCAACTTCTTACTGCACTACATCATTATAGGAGGTTATAATTTTTGAGCGTGTCTAAACTGTAATTATTATCTGCTATGTAACTTAGAGCACTCATAAACAAGTGAACTTGTATTATCACTTCCAGAAAGTGTATTTGGAATTTTCAGCTGTTGTGTTTTTCATTGAACAGAGAATAGTGTAGTTAGCTGACTGCTTTCAGTGGTCCTGTATGATCATGCAATTTCTCATTCAGCTAAAGATTGAATATGGATTACTGATCTGATAGTGGAAAGCTATCATTGTAAATCAGAACCAATCCAAATATAGCAAAACAGCTGTCATAAATATAACTGAAGTGTGGTATCCTATTGTAGAGGGCTGTCTGTCTTCTGACAAGTTTATATATTGCTCGTTAATCACAGTTGATGAAGACTCTAAACCACTACTAAGCATAGGAGATTCAGCATGCATTGTGAGCCTCTGCTGGTTGCAGAGTGAAGTGCATAGGCTGATTGAATGCTCCTTTTAGCCTTAAGCAGTAGCAACATAGAGGGCTATTTTTTGGTGAGTTCTCTGGATTTGAGAATTACATGAGAAGCTTTGACAAACTGGTGACACGGTTTGTATGGTAGTTCTGTTGATCGTTAGGGATGAATGAGGGAAAACGTAAGTTATGGTCCCAGATGACCGTTTTTCTAGTGCTACTTACTTGTGGACCTTGCCCATGTAAATGGGATTTTGAAGAGTTCTATAGCCATTTTGTTATAATTGCTTTTCTGCTTGTTTTACAGAATTGAATGTTTTCCAAAAATTCAAAGGGAGTTTGATTGGATGTATTGACTTACCATGAATGCTTAAATTGCTTCCTTTTTCGTTCCCCTATATTTATACGTATATGTTTGGATTTTTTTACAGGATTTACTTGGAGTAAAAGATCACTGACTTCTACAATGGAAAAGTCATGGATGCTTTGGAACTTTGTTAAAAGATGGCTGCTAGCTTTGGCTTCCTGGTCTTGGAGTCTCTGCCGTATTTGTCTTTTACCCTTGATAGTAACTTTTCACTTGTATGGAGGCATTATACTACTTGTATTAATATTTGTATCAATAGCAGGTATACTATATAAATTCCAGGATGTGCTGCTTTACTTTCCTGAACAGCCCTCTTCATCACGCCTTTATGTTCCTATGCCTACTGGTATACCACATGAAAATATCTTCATCAAGACCAAAGATGGAGTTCTTCTCAATCTTATTCTGCTGAGATATACAGGGGACAATGCAGCATACTCTCCAACCATCATTTACTTTCACGGGAATGCAGGCAACATAGGCCACAGGTTGCCAAATGCTTTGTTAATGTTGGTAAACCTGAAAGTAAACTTAATTCTTGTTGATTATAGAGGGTATGGAAAAAGTGAAGGAGAAGCAAGTGAAGAAGGTTTGTACTTAGATTCTGAGGCTGTGTTAGACTATGTGATGACTCGGTCTGATCTTGACAAAACGAAAATTTTTCTTTTTGGCCGTTCCTTGGGGGGAGCAGTAGCTATTCACTTAGCTTCTGAAAATTCCCATAGGATTTCTGCCATTGTGGTGGAGAACACCTTTCTTAGCATCCCATACATGGCCAGCACTTTGTTTTCTTTCTTTCCAATGAGGTATCTTCCTTTATGGTGCTACAAAAATAAATTTCTGTCCTACAGAAAAATCTCTCAGTGCAGAATGCCTTCCCTCTTCATCTCTGGGTTGTCTGACCAGTTAATTCCACCAGTTATGATGAAGCAACTTTATGAATTATCCCCAGCTCGGACTAAGAGATTGGCGATATTTCCTGATGGAACTCATAATGACACTTGGCAGTGCCAGGGTTATTTCACTGCACTTGAACAGTTCATCAAAGAAGTAATAAAGAGCCACTCCCCTGAAGAAATGGCGAAAACATCATCTAATGTAACAATAATATAATTGATATTCTTCCTTGGGGTGGGAGGACTACCTGCACTGTACCTTGATTTGTGAAAAGTGGTAAAAGAATGTCCATTTTTAAATGTATGTCATGTCTGTACTTGCCTAAAGAGTGAAATTAAACTTTGAAAGGTCTGATGCTTTATTGAGATGTTCCAGATAATTTTTACATTTGCAGCATTGTAAATGAACCATTTTATGTCTTTCTCATACTTCTTTGGTATCTCTGTCCATATATTCCCTTTGTTTGATATGTACAACAGATGCTATTAAAGGAACTTGCTACAAAAGTAGTACAGAATGTATTAGTCTAGAACAACAGAAGGCTCTTCAGTATTCACTGCTGTATGTGTGAGCTTTTTGGACAGTCAGGGTTAGCACAATGATTTGTCGTTTCTCTTCGAGTTTATTTAAAGTATGCCATGCATGAGGTTAGTGTTTGATTCCTTGAAATTTTATATTATGCAAGGTGGGAAGTCTTTAATATGCTAAATAATGTTACATTAACAGTAGAGTATACTTGCAGGTATACTGTCTTGGGTTATTACTGGTTTTTGTGGTTATGCATACGTATATATTTCAAACTGCAGCTGAAGAGGAAAAGATGCTTGCACTGTTTTTGTTTTACCGTTTGTATTACAATGCCCAGGAATTTGTATGTGCTCAAACACCACGGCTTCAGGATTTTGCCCAGGCTATTTTTTCATAGAAGTAACCCTTCAAAAAGGGAGCAATGTGATCTGTACTCCATTCCGCTCCAAGCTCTCTTCACTAACATGCAGTCAAACTATCTGTTGGTATTAGTATGCTTGTGCATTTGAGGTGGGATTTCCTATGGCAGAGTGGGTGGTGTTGGAAGGAGTGTCATACAAGGTGAAGTGCATTTGTGTTTGATTTTTTAGGCTGGTATAGTTAAATGTGCCCTTATACCTCTAAAAGAAACAAATCCGAATAATTACCAGTGATCACATGATTAGAGATTCGTGTATACAGTTGTTACAGTAAGGGTAATACAATCAAGGATTAAGGATAATAAATTTTAAATTAAATAAATGCATTAAAATTGGTAGACCTCAGCTTAGTTAGATTAAAAGAGACATAATTTATTTTAACATGTTTGTAGAAAGTGCTGCCGTTCTGTTGTACCACCTGGAAGTAGACTAAATGTCAGCAGTTACTTTTCTTTAGCTCTGCTGGGATCTAGCAGGTCTAGGGAGGTTCTCCTCCCCCTCTGCTCTGCCCTGGTGAGACCACATGTGGAACACTGTGTTTGACTTTAGCTCCCCAGTTCAAGCGAGACAGGGATCTACTGGAGAGAGTCCAATGGAGAGCTATGAGGATGATTAAGGGACTTGAACATCTCTCTTAGGAAGAAAGGCTGAGAGACCTGGGGCTGTTTAGTCTTGGGAAGGTTGAGAGGGGTCTATAAATACCTGAGGGGTGGGTGTCAAGAGGAAGGGGCAGTCTCTTTTTGGTGATAGCGTAAGGAACAATGGGTATGAGCTAGAACATAGGAAGTTCCACCCCAGCATTTACTCTGTGGGTAACTGAGTACCAGAACAGGCTGCTCAGAGAGGTTGTGGAGTCTCCTCTGGAGACTCAAAACCTGCGTGGATGCATTCCTGTGTGGCCTACCCTAGGTGGTCCTGCTGTGGCAGGGGGGCTTAGACTAGATGATCTCTAGAGGTCCTTTCCAACCCCTAACATTCTATGATTTTTGAAGCTAGTATAACCATTTCAGAGCCAGCAGTACTCAGAGTTTGATTATGACTGAATGTTGGCATTTGGTTTCTTTGTTTTGTTTTGTTTGATTTTAGAAGTCCTTATCCTACATTGTCATATCAAAGTTGTATGGAGTGTGGGGCTTTTAAAATCTCTTCTACAGATTTAATTTCTTATTTGCTGCAGGTGATACTTTGCCTCTTCAAAATATTTTTATTTGAAGAACAAACTGGAAAATCTTCCACACAACCTGTGCAATTGCCCTTTGGATTGATTTTTTTTTTTAAATAGACTTTTTTACCTTGTTGTCCCAATTCAGAAAGGCATCTTAGTACACACTTAAAATCTGTTTCCTGATGGACAGTTGTATTTAAGGCTTCTGCTTAAGTTGTCTGGTTATGCCTGCTAAAATGTGTTACAGGGACTTCGAGGTCTTATGTACACATGGTAGTTGCCAGCATTTTATAGGTAGGGTGATACATCTTTACTTAAATGTCATTTTTTTTATTTAAGTAAACACATACATACCAGAAGTTGCTGCTTTCTCTGGTAAGTATTTTTTGTCATACTATTATTAAGGTTTTCTTAGAACTGATTGAAAAACCTGTAGAGCTTTTTGGATCTATAAGCCTAAAGTAATTGTAGAGAGAGCATAGTTTTAAATCTGAATGAAACTATAACTCATTTCCTCAGCCTTCCAAAGCTGGTATTTTTGGGGGAGAGGTGGGTGGGGAAAGTATTGTGGTGAAGTTTGATTGAGGGGTTTTGTTTATATAGCAGAAGGGAGTTAATAAATATAGCATAGCATTCCCTTTTCCTGATGTATTCCAAAATGCTAATGTGAACTTTTTGCATATATTGTTTCAGCTACTTCACATTCCTTTAGAATTAAGCTGGGGAGAGAGAAGGAAGACATGTGGGCAAATACTGCTTTTCTAAAACAAATTGGTAAAGCCAAAAGAATACATTACTTGTTGGAGATAGAATGAAGAGAAAGGAAGTAATTGTTCCAGAAGTTGTCATAACTCACTATTAAATACAATTTTCTATAAAATGTTGATTTCTAAAGTAACACAACTTCTTACCCCGCTCCCTGCCAATCAAAGACAAACACACACCTCAAACAAAAAGAGCCCCTGTATTATGTGTCACTCACGTAATAACGAAGTATTCTTATTTGAGCACACGTTGGCAAGTGGAAGTCAAATGTGTGGCATTAGATTGTGACAATCTGGAGCTGTTTAAAGTAGACTGTATCTAAACATTATATTTGATTATCAAGCCATATCATTTCACCATGTTGTCTGCAGGACATAAAGATGAAACTTTGCCTGTTTTTGCAAGTATTGGGTATGAGAAGGCACAATTGTCACATATATGCATCTTTTACATTTAACGTGGTTTCTTCCATGTGCACATTTTTACTTCTCCCTTAATGGACTAGGTGCATACACTTGTGAATGAGTGTCTATTATCATTCTATTTTTCATTGTGTTGGCTATGAAATTCACTAAAAAAAAAAAAAAAGAAAAAGTAGGAAATTATTTTTTTGTGCAATATTCCTCTGCTGTGCGTATGATCTTTTTAAAGGAGGGAGAAGGAGGAAAAAACTTGTTTCGACAAGTCAAGATTCATTTTTATTTAATGGTTTGTGTGATGGAAACTCATAGTGACCTGCTGCTAAAAGCCATTTTTAGACAGTGAACTAAGTAATGTAGCAGTAATAACAACTTTAAATTGCCAAAAGGTATATTATAATACTGTTACATTTATTCTGCTCAATACCATTATATGTGTTCCCTTAACAGTTCTTTGTGTTTACATTATTCCAAGAATTTGTGCTGTATATATAAATTTCTAGTTTTAGAAGAGGAAGTTATTTTCACAGGTTTGTAAGAAAGCCTCTTGGTTTAAATATGCTTATTAAAGGAATGTCACTTTTATAAGAGGAAATTTTTAAGTTTAAGGAAAAAAAAAAAAAGAACAGGAAGGTCGGGGGTTGAACTGGAACAGCTGTAACAGTAGAATCCTTGTGAGGAAACATCCGGGGTAAGACCTTGTGTGTGTACATGTGTATGTGGTTTTAATTAATGGAAATACTTCAGGCTTCCTGCTAATCCAAGTTTACATTCTAAACTGAAATGCAGAGATAAGCTGTGCTTTCATCAAAAGAAATGTTAACTGGTTATAGCTGCCCTCATGTCCATTTCTCAGGTAAAATTAGAAATAGAGCACAAATACATTTGATAGGCTATGGACAATCTCTCAGTTGAAGAGCAGATGGATTAACTATACAAAATATGCATATTAGCATCTCTAAGTTCATAATTTGTATCACATTGGATATTCACAGTGACGAATGCAAGGCTGAATAGAGAGTCCAGGGTATGGTCTCTTGTATTAGCAAGAAGATGCAGACGTACCTCCTTTTGTCTTTCATAATTCCATTCTTGAGAATTACATTTATATTTCTGTTAATGACAGGTGATTTTGCTAGAGGCACTTCTGCCAAATATAAAGTCAGTGCCTCTTGCATGTAGTGGGATCAGCCTGATGTATCCCATTAAGAATAATTTACAGTGCCATCCTGCTTGTATAATTTAGAGTCAAACCCTGCTGAAGTGTAAATAGAGATAGCATATTCAACTTCTAAATATCAGTTGTGATTTGAATTCAGAAACAAGTCATTGAAGATATGATGCAAGCTTTTTATTTGATTTCCCTTTAATGTATGGTTGAAACAAAAATGTCTTCTGAAGTATTGCTAAATTTTGTAGAGACAGCATAAATGTTACTGTGTATGTGCTAAATGTGGCAAACTTTTACATTCTCATTCTAGTCTGGTTTTTACAATAAAATTAATTTTACAAAAAAACACTTTTCTATTTTTATGTACTGACATATGCAATAAATTGATACATTAAAAGTGCTGTTAATGTCTTGCTCTAGTTTGTGGTTTGTCTTCAGTCTGTGTACAGTGGTATTTTTTGCATGCATGGTTAACCTCAAGGTTGAGTCATGGAACAGGCACCTGCTTCGTTAGATGTGGCATTTCTGGAAAGCTGTTGCGGAGACCTATTTTTAAGCTTTGTCACCTATCCTGACTTGTGAGAAGTGTTAGTAAGTAAAACTGGTATGTGGTAGCTCCCCATCACTTCCTAACACATTCTGCATTTCAAAATTTCCCTTTTATCTGGAGGACTAAGAAATTGTGGCAGAGCACTCATGCCTCCCCTGCCCCCACATCAGTGATGAAAGTCATTATCTGTTAAGCTCTCTGGATATAGCAATAGAACTCCTGATGAGCCCTCCACTGTCAGCCAGACTGGGTGGTGCTGAGACTGATTTCTGGCCTTAAACTACCAGCAGACAGGGTGACACCTGTTTTTCGTTGGGAATTTGGGGATTGCTAGGGGGGAACCCTCTGACAATGAACAGGGTCCCCAGCCAGTAGCATCTTGACCCAGGCAGAATAACAAATGAATGACCACAGGTCAGATCTGACCTAGTCTACAAAAAGAGTTGCCCAACCAGAAGCCAGTTGGGTTTTCTCTTGGACTAGTGGGTCTGCCAGGCAGCCTACCCTAAGGAAAGTTCCCGAGATTGAGTGACCTCATCTTTGGTGAGTGACGTGTTTTTTTCCTGATATAT